ATATGTTTCTATAACAAGAAAGCCACCTGATTAATTCCAATAATCACACGAAATCCCAAAACAAGGAGAAGCCGCTCAGGCTGAAGGAAGCAAGAAAATTTTTTAAAGGTCAGAAAGTTTCTCAGATTTGAATATCTGAATAAATAGATAATTAATAAATAATAAATAACCTGTTTCTGTTCAGCGCTTCCATTTTAGATGGGCCTCCATATCAAAGAGATAGCAGCAGGGATGTTCACAACTAAAGCTGAAGATGAATCCAGAACAGAGTCTTCATAAAGAGGCTATATAACTAAAGACAAGAATGGAGAAACTATAGGTAGTTCCCAACTTACAACTAGTTGGTTAATGATCGTTTGAAAATAAAGTGGTCTCAGAATGGGTTGTTACGGCCCATAAAGTACCTCAAGCTGTTGTAGACCATTGCGCTGCTGCCCCTCAATCATGTGGTTGCAATCTGGTCCTTGGTAACCTGTTCAGACTTATGCTCAGTTGTCAAGAGACCCTGTAATCATGTGATCACCATTTGCAATCTTCCCTGCCAGATTTCTCAGAAAACCAATTGGGAAACTAGCAGGGAAGGTAGCAATTGTTGCTGCTTGCTGAGAGGACTCTCCCTTGTCCCTGGGAGTTGACTGAAAGAGCTGCCTGCCAGAGCGAGCTGAACTCCTTTGACAAGGTGCAAAAATGGAGCTCAGATTCTGATGATTTGAATTGATTTTGCGCCCTACTGAAAGGCATTCCTTTCTGTGTGTGGAAGAGAGATTACATCCTCCTGCAGGATGCAGAAATGGAGCTCAGATCCTGATGATTTGAGCTCCGTTCCTGCACCTCATGAAAGGAGTTGCCTTCCACATGTGGTTCCCACTGAAGAAGTTCCCTTCCATGAATTGAGAAGAGATGAGGTCCTTCAGCAGGCAACTGTTTCAGCCAGCCTGTAGAGACAAGAGCCAAAATCCAGTCAGCAAACAGCAAGGCAGTGTAATAAGATAAGCAGCACAGGATGCCCTAGGCAAGTGCCTTTGTCCCTCGGGGGCTGAGACTTCCCCCGTGCCTCCATCCAAGGCACCCTGCACTCATTACTGGGATTCCCATCAACTCAACAACCCCCACAATTGCTTAACAACCACAGCCAGGAATGGTGGGATTATCATCATTGATAACAACAGTCTGGTAAGCAGTCACGTGGATCTTATTTCATGACCGTTTCGCTCAACACGAAAGATCCCAGACTCATTAGTGAAGGATTATCTGCATTTTGTTTGTTTGTTTATCACACCTTTATTATTTTTGCAAATAATTCAAAGCAGAGAACCCATCTAATACTCGTATTTTCCCCACAACAAAAACAACCCTGTGAATTAGCTGGGATGGAATGGAGTCTGCAGTTGGAGGAAGGGAGGGGCTCTTTCTTAGACAGTGAAGAAACAGTGGAGCTTAGAATGTCTGTTAGGCAGGAAGAGAGAAAAGGTGGACTCCCCTCCACCCCCCCCAATCCGCAAAGTACAGCTAACCGTTATGCAGAGAAGTGTTTTAGTCTGGTTAATAGGCAAACTGATTTCTGTTAACAGGCAAACAGTAAAAAACTTACTGGAAGGAACTCCACGTGTCATTCCTGCTTCTTTGGACCTGACATTAGTAGAGAACATAGAAGGAGCAGTGAACATCACAGCTGACTAAGATGAAAAGCTTGCCCTGTTAAAAAATTATTCCTCTGAATATCCCTAGATCTCATTCAGACAACCATTTGTCTGAAATTGTATAGGTTTCCTGCTTGAGCAGGGGGCTGGACTAGAAGACCTCCAAGTTCCCTTCCAACCCTGTTGTTCTGATTTTCAGCAAGATGGGACTGGACAGTTGGCTGAAGTACTTCTTCCAGTTTTTGAACAAGAGCAAAGAGAGCAACCTTCTGTAGTTGGAAGGACTGCTGTGTGATTTGGACCAATGCCAGTGTTATCCATACACAAAGTGATGAACTTAAGGGGACAGTTTCTTTCAATTGTCCAATTTTGCCTCAAAAGATTCTAGTTCTTCAATCAAGTGGAGAAAACTGAGATAGCAATAGCTGTAGCACTTAGACTTACATACCCAGGAGTGGGATTCAAAATTTTTAACAAGTTCTGTGGGCGTGGCTTAGGTGGTGGGAATGGCTTGGTGGTCAGGTGACTGGGTGGACATGGCTTGGTGGTCATGTTATTGGCTGGGTGTGGCCAACTCAATATCACTCACATCAAGGCACGCCTCTCATGACTGTGGGGATGCTGCAACAGTTGCAAGTGTGAAAAATGGTCATAAGTCACTTTTTTCAGTGCCATTGTAACTTTGAATGGTCACTCCACACAAGCAAAGTACCAGCAAAGGAGGGGGAAAAACTCCAGAGAAGTTCCAGAGACAGGAAGTCTAGTCCTGCCAAGAATGTAATAAGGGTTAACAGAGAGGCAGTTTCTGTAAGCAACACCAGAATGTTTCCTTCCTGCCTTCCTTACAGGATTAAGCCAGTAATTTCTTCTGACAACCGGTTCTCAGAACTGCTTAGAATGTTAACCGGTTCTAGCTAATAGGTGCGAACTGGTAGAATCCCACCCCTGTATATACCATTTCATAGTGTTTTTACAGCCCTCTCTAAGCGGTTTACAAAGTCAGCATACTGCCTCCAACAATCTGGGTCCTCATTTTACCAACCTCAGAAGGCTGGAAGGATGAGTTAACCTTGAGCTGGTGAGACTCAAACTGCCAAACGGCATTTGTCAGAAGTAGCCTGCAGTACTGCATTATAACCACTGTGCCATCACAGCTCTTAATGCTCATAGAGTGTCTCACAAAATGCCTTGACTGGCTAAAACTTGCAACCTGGAAGTCAAATGGGAACATCTCTTGAACTCCTTGCCTCCAACAGAATTTTTTTCAGTAGAGTATATATCATTCAGTCAATATAAGCTACATTTAATTGAATTTCATGTATATGACTGAAACAAAGAATTTCCTCCAAGTCATAGGAAGAAATGTTAAACCTTACGTGTTAATCATTTTCATTAGAAGGTATGGAGTTAACCCTTCCCTGTAGAGTCTATCCTTTGATTATCAGATCCTTTACAGAGAGATCCTTTCCAGCCAGCATTTGTACTTCTTAAAACTTTTTCTCTTTCCTTTCCTTCTTTGTCTTTTCCTTTATCCATCTCCGGTATTTCCCCCCCTTTCTTTCTCAATTTACCCACTGTACTTCTTCCTCTTACCTTTAATCTGTTTTGCTCCTCCATTTTTGTTATTCTCCTGAGCACGAGGGAATCATAAATGTAGATGGAGATTGTTAAGTGATTGCCTAAGTTCACACAATTTTCTTGAAAATGTTTTCAGAAGTGGGTTATCATTTCAATTCCATTGTACACATGTTGTGCATTGACAATAAACGTTTGATTTGATTTGATTTGATTTGATTTGATCATTATTTTCTTCCCAGGGCTCAAAGAGACAAGTAGTACAAAGTTACCCAACTTGCTGTGCCTAAGTCAGGACTAGAACTCACGGACTCCTGTTTCTAGCCTGGTATCTAATTCAAATGATCTTTATATTTGATTTTTAGGGGTGGGGTGGGAAGAAATAAGACTTTTCCACCCCCACAAATGTATGTACATAAAACACTTGCATGTACATATACATTCCTAAACATGTACAAGTTTATGGTAGAATGAAGAAAACTTCCATATTAATTTCAGCTACAGTCAATGTCCTAGTTTAACAAGATAGGGAAACTTGGCACTGGAGAGGAATAATATTTGAATAATATTTTTCCAAGCGATTCTTACTCTTCCTTGTTTTGTGGAGAGAGGAGGGGAGGTTTGTCATAAATTCAGGATTGTTTTCCTTTCAGGCAAATATGGTAATTGAGAGATAAAGAGATTGTTCATAACTGAAATATGAATTTCTAATGATATATAGCTGTAAGCATTATTTTATATTATTTAAATAATAATACATGTCTGGGGGGTGAAATTGAGAAATGGATATACATCAAGATACCAAGTTTTTGCTATATTTTTTTTGAGAGAGACCAGCACTTTCACAGTACAGTATTCTTTCATTTGAATATTATATGAGGAAAATATATTTTGTTTTTGTTTATGTATAAATAGCATTCAAGCATAAAGATTTATAATAAACTAAATTGAATTTCAAATAACACTTCATTGGAGATGTTTTCTGTTCCCTCCTCTCTTGCGACTCTTTCCTAGTAGCAGTAGCTTCGAGTGGCAAACAACCATTCAAACTGTAAAGAATATCGCTTGCACAAATGGGAAAAGAAGGAAGGGTTGGGAACTTAGCTTGCATAAATAGTTTGGCTATGCAAACTTTGTCTCTAGTATATTAAGTCTGTAACATGTTATATTTATATGAACATACATGGATACTTTGATTAAATACAAGAACTTCTGTTTTTATAATAACATTTTCTTATCGGTACAGTGATGCTTTCACCCAGAGTAAGTTAACATGGTGTAATTTCACACATTTTGCCACTACTGAAAAGAAAAATTAAGTATTTCTACAGCAGTAGCTGTTTTGCCAAAAAAAATTTTTTTTTTTACATTTGGATATAATTGTTCTCATTGTCTAAACAAACAGTATTGTCTTATAATGAAAAGAAGACTTTGCAAATTAATTTTTGTTCCATTTTATATTTGTCCAGTTAATACATTCTGCAGAATTTTATTGAAAGCTTTTTACCTCTATGAATCAAGAATCCAAATGGACTATACCTAGACTTTACAGTATTCTTCTTTTGATAACTTTTCTTGTAGTATCTTCTCATTTGTACTGCAAAGGGATCATAGAATTATATAGCATTCATAGTGCCAAACTTTGCGCCATATATGAGAAATACGGACTTGTTTATGGAAGCAGAGCATGTTTATAGGTTATTCCAGGCATTTTTGAGAGCCATTGCTTTTATATCTATGCCACAGTCCACATGTTTTATCTGGATTATTCTGAATTCCTTGCAGATCAGAGATGTCTATCCACATGCTATGCAGTGATTTGCTTCTCATGTTGCAAAGAAAATTGAATATGGCCTAATAGAATTGACCATTGAAGAGCTTATGATGTCCACAGGTACAAGTGGGAAAAAATCCTATCAGGCTGTGAGCCTAGAAGGAGTTGATCCAGAAACATGCATGATAGTGTTTAAAACCCACTGGGCACAGGTAATGGAGCTCTGAGAACTCTTCTTCTTTTATTTCTCTTCATTATTGATTTAATTGTTAGGAATCCATTTAAACCATCAGATATTTGCTTGTATTGTCAGAGTTCAAGCCATTTTGTATGATACTGACACCAAGCATATCTTTTTTAACTTTTGAAAAACTGTATCACTTACTGCTTTTTAAAAATAATAATTGTATATTAGGGATATAACAACCAATTGAATAAACTCATGTTCTAATTAAGATTGCTATCCTTTATTGCAAGTGAAGTAAAGTCCTTTTAAAATAATTGTATTTTGAATATTCATGGGCAGTTCACTTCTTTGCTGGGTTATTTTTGTTAAATCCACCAAAAGACTGCTTATGCTGAAAGGCTAAATTAATATATTTCAAGCACGCAATATATTATTTCTGTGCAATATATTATTTCCGAATCCTGTATGGTTTACTTTTAATTAGTATTGTCTAATGCCCACATATATTATATTTGCCACCTTTCAGTGTGGGCATTAGTATCAGTCTAGTATTTTTATATCTTCTATTTCAGCAACTGAACCTTTACTCTTTAAATGTACTTGCCCATAAATGAAGCTAGGTAGATATTGGGTATTAAAATTCAGATGACCAAGAACATTCTTAGTTGCTCAACATGGTCATAAGTTGGTGAGTCGACTGAGTCATGGGCTACTCTTCTTAAGTTGCATAATTGGTTAGATTAGCCATTTTGGGAAAGATATTTCAGATAAGTAATGCATAGGCTGTTTCTACTCATTAATCCATAGCTTGCCTTTTATGATTTATTTGGAATGTTCTGAACTATTATGAAGATATTTGTCCATAAAGGCAGTTTTTCACAGTTAAAGATTGCAAGACTGGCTCCATATTTAGTGCCTATTAATATGTATTATTTAATTTTTCCATAGGTTGTGAAAATTTTAGAGAAGCATGACCCTTTAAAAAATATTCAAGCAAAATATGGGACAATTTCTCCAGATGAGGCCAGCACTGTGCAGAACTATGTAGAGCACATGCTCTTCCTTTTGATTGAAGAACAGGCAAAAGATGCAGCAATGGGACCTATCCTGGAGTTTGTGGTTACAGAGAATATCATGGAAAAGCTCTTTCTTTGGAGCCTCAGGCGGGAATTCACTGATGAGATGAAAATTGAGCAACTGAAAATGTATGAAATGCTTGTCACACAGTCTCATCAGCAGCTGCTGCATCACAAACCCATCCTAAAACCATTAATGATGTTGCTGAGTTCTTGCTCAGGAACTACCACACCACTCGTTGAAGTAGAGTTGGTGGTTCTTCTCAACCAACTATGCTCAATCCTAGCCAAAGATCCGTCCATTTTGGAACTTTTTTTCCATACCAGTGAGGACCAAGGAGCTGCAAACTTTCTAATCTTTTCTCTCTTGATTCCTTTTATCCATCGGGAAGGGACTGTTGGCCAACAGGCTCGTGATGCACTACTTTTTATAATGTCTCTTTCTTCAGAAAGTTGTGTGGTTGCTCATCATATAGTAGAGAATACTTATTTTTGTCCGGTAAGTTTTTTTTCTAGCTACTCATTCAAGTTAAGATTTTGCACAAAGGAGAATTAAATTTACCTGATAAATTGTAATTTTATTATGGCTATGTAGAAATTCTAAATGGCATAATTGAGGAAAATTGAAATTGTTCAGAAAGCCCATTGCATTGAATTGAGCAGTGAATTTGTTGTTTTAACTTAAACATTCAGCTTAATATTGAACATTCTAAGAATAATGCAAATCAAAAGCTAAACTTGTATATTAAATTGTGGTTATAATCTGGGTCCTCATTTTACTGACCTTGAAAGGCTGAATCAACCTTGAGCTGGTCAGGATCGAACTCCAGAGTGTGGGAAGAGTTAGCTTGGCAATACTGCATTATAACCATTGTACCAAGTGGTTGTGATAAGCTTGATAATGCCAGAATAAAACACTTAACTGAAATATATTCAGTTGCCTCTGGCAAGGTCTTGCAGATAATCGATATCTTCCTCCTAAGCTTACTTTGATAGAGGAGATAAAATTCTGTGATGGCTTGTCACCAAACTTTGATATATGCTCCTTCACTTATACATGCCCAGAGTATTCACATTAGATTTATTTCCAGTCAGCATTGAAGTGACTGGTGTTCTTAGTGTAATATAATGTTCTTCCTGGAGAACAAAGTAGATTTTACAGAACAAAGATGATAAATATTAGGAATTAATTATGTTGTCTTTTTTAATACATTGGCGACTATCACACATTTGCACTCATTTTAGTAGAAATTGGAGACCAGACAAGATATTTGGAACAGTCCTCTTTTCTTTTCAAGAACATATTTTAGACAATATAAATAGGTCCAAATTCAGGATATTATATGTTACATCAACTTGTCTTTTTTTATCTTCCCATCTCAGGTTTGTTTTGAACAATGAAATTGAGTAAGCTAAGAATAAGAGAACGGTCATAATCCTAAACATTGGTATACTGTTGATTTTGCATATGATCATGTAGTTTGAAAGGACCATTTAGACATTGAGCCTAACCCCAAACTAAGAGCAACAATCCAAGATCAAGCATTGCCAACATATGGCTGCCTATTCTTTGCTTGAACTGATGGGAGTTGGTGATGTCTCCAGGAAATCGTTCCACTTTCAAATTGCTCTTAGTGATGTTTTTTTTCTTTTTTCTTTTTTTTTTTAAACAAATTTTATTGATTTTCCAAAACAATGTTTTTTTTTTCTTATAATAATCAAATCTGCCTTCCTGCAACTTAAATTAATTATTTTTATGTCTTGCCTTCTGAGATGATAGAGAACAGGTCTTGATTGTCTTCTATATTGCCTTCTTTTAGATATTTGAAAAGTATGTATCATACCCCCCCCCCCCAGTCTTTTTAAACAATCCCAGATCCTTCAGGCAGAGGACTCAATTTGTAGTATCCCTTATATCAGGGTTGTCAACAGGGGTGGGATTCAAATCTCTTAACCGGTTCTGTGGGTGTGGCCTAATTTGTGGGTGTGGCTTGGTCATGTGATTGAGTGGGCGTGGCTTGCTGACTGGGCATGGTTTGGTGGTCATGTGACTGGGTGGGCGTGGCTTGTATGTAAATATTATAAATGTTTATGTAAATATTGATTTTTTTTATTTAAAAAAAACAACTTTTACCCAAAACAGGCAGGCAGATTTAGTTGCTCACAGAATCACAGATTCACTTAGAGATCTATCTATCTGCAATCAGCTACCTGAGTCTATCACACAAAATTTGCTAGCAAGAAAACTCACCAAATTAAGTCACAACACACCATGTATGTAAATATTGAATTTTTTTTTTTTTATAAAAAAGAGCAACTTTTACCCAAAAGCAGGCAAAGCAGGCAGGCAGATTGCTCAAAGAGTCACAGATTCACTTAGAGATCTATCTATCTGCAATCTGCTACCTGGGTCTGCACTGAAAAGCTTCAGTCCTAAGGAAGGTTCGGTTCTGATTTTAAATTAGCTAGAGAGCAAGAAATCCAAGGATTTCTTGTTTTCTAGCTCATCTAAATCTCCCAGCAGAGCAGAACAGCTGATGGAAAAAAAAAAGGAAAAATAGCAACTTACCAAACCAGGCAAATTGGATGGCTCACATGCCATTGCATGCGGTAAGGAGTGAGTGGGCGGGGCCAGCCAGTGGAGCGATTTGCCGGTTCTCTGAACTGCGGGCAATTGTGTGTGCAGCGTTTGCAAGAAATCATCAGCTGTGCCGCCTGGACAGATGACAAGCACTATGCTTTGAAAATCCTCTTGTTTCCTGCTTTTTCAACCTCAGCTGTGCCACGCAAAGCAGCTGAGGAGAGAAAAGCAGGAAATAAAGGACAGCCTAGAGCCCGGGCAGGCGGGTGGGCCAAACACCGAACCGGTTCGGTGTCAGCTGCTCTTCGCAGCTACAGGTTCTATAGAACTGGGCCGAACCGGTAGCATCCCACCCCTGGGTGTCAAACTTGCGTCGTCATGGTGGCATCATGTGACATATCGGGACTTTTTCCCCCTTTGCTAAGCTGGGCGGGGGTGGGGCCAGCACGTAATACATCCAGCCATGGGGCCGTGAGTTTGACACCCCTGCTTACATCCTTATTTCCTTTCTCTGATCCATATTCCAAAATGTCATAAAATGCAGAATAAAATCGAACCATTATCCCTCCAATCCCCAATGCCATTCTCCATAAAGATATTTCTAGCCTAGACAAACCTTGTTGGTTTCATTTAAATAAATAAATATAAATATTACTTATTTTTTAAAAAGATATTTCCATGATAAATACTTTTACTATATCCGTGCTGTTGTGTACATGCCTACATTTACCAATTATTTTTTAGGAAGACTTTTTACTTAGAAGATTAAAGCTAAATTTGTTAACCTTCAAACAGTACGGGCCATTATCATCAAAATGCATTACTAATTAGAATAATTGCCTTAGGATGTTGGAGTGAGACAAGTAATAAAGGTAGCAAACCCGAGGTTATAATAAAAAAAAAACACATGCGATTCCTGAGAGGTGTTCAATTGTTAAATATCTCTAATATGCAGCCTTTATAAGAATGATCTTTCCAATTTGGGAAGCTTTGGTCTCCCCTTGAGAAAAGTCAGAATGATGCCTCAGATTTTGGGTTTCTCATCATTTCTCAATGGATGCAACTGAGTAATCTAATTCTGATTAAAGTGAAGTAATTCCAGTTAAATGTTACACTGTATGTAATATTTACTTATAATAAAAAAACAGAATGGAGAAAATTGTATGACTGTATCCTTCGGCTTAAAATTATGCTGTTACATTTAATATGTTTAGTGGGATTTATTTAGGATATATATTCTATTTTAGAAGTTGAAGACTTTCTCCTCAAAACAGATATGCATTTTTAAAAATTTGCATGGAAGATGCTTGTAGACCAATAAAATAGTTCGATTTTTAAGTGACAGTTTATGTGAATCCATTTAATGTGATTTATACAATGTGGTTTATAGTTAGCATATTATACGAACCTAGGCAATTATGATTCGTTTAATAAATTGTGGTTAATCAAACCAGACATAGCACAGTATCTGAATTCTGTTGATAATGTTTCTATGGGAGTTACTTCTATTTGGCAAACATGTCATGCACTGGCTATAATGTTCTCTGACTTCATAAATATGTTCTGCCTCTGCAAACAGTTAGCAATTATGAAGATCCATGCTCACATATATAAGAAGCAATGCTAGATATTATAATTAGGGTTTAGAGAATTGACCTTGGAAATGTCATCCCACAAGGAAGTTTAAAATAGTAAATTGTCCTCCCACAAGCACAGTTTATAGCTGTGATTTGCATACAAAATACCTCCCAAATCTGTTTTGCTGCTGGCAAAGTTAAACAGTACTGGTTTCAATAGATGAATTGGGAATTGCCTTCAGTGACTTGGAAGCAAAGCATGACCAGCATCAAAGACAATAAATTCAAGATTTTAATTAAACTAGATCAAGTTTTAATATACAATATCTAAGCATAGTAGCACTTTAAAAGTAGTCAGTAGCATTATTTTAGTATACTTTGGCAGATTTTCTGAACATACAGCAGTTATTGTAGCTTTAACCCTGTGCAAAATTGTTGTGACCCATGGCAGCATATTATTAGATAATATTTTTCCACTATTAGTCCTTTCTTTATTTTATTTTAATTATTTATTTTTGTCAATTGCTTACAAGATAATAGGTATAAGTAAAAACATAGTTATGAATACATGGATACATATAAGAAGAATAAAAGAAACAATAGGACAGGGACGGTAGGCACATTGGTGCGCTTATGAATGCCCCCTACAGATCTCTTAGGGGTGAGGTCAATAGTAGACAGTTTAAGGTTAAAGTTTTGGGGGTTTGCGGAAGAAACCACAGAGTCAAGTAGAGTATTCCAGACATTGATCACTCTGTTGCTGAAGTCGTATTTCCTGCAATCAAGTTTGATGCGGTTAACCTTGAATTTGTATCTATTGTGTGCTCTTGTGTTATTATGGTTGAAGCTGAAGTATTCATTGACAGGTAAGTCATTGCAATGTATGATTTTATATACCATACTTAGATCAGACTGAAGACAGCGTAATTCAAGGTTTTCTAGGTCTAGAATTTCAAGTTGGTGGCATAAGGTATTCTACAACAAGTAGAGGAGTGGAGAACTCTTCTTGTGAAATATTTCTGGACTTTCTCAACTGTGCTAATATCAGATACGTAATGTGGGTTCCAGACTGATGAGCTGTATTCGAGTATTGGTCTAGCAAATGTTTTGTATGCTCTAGTTAGTGTGATATTACCAGAGAAAAAACTACACAGGATTAGGTTAACAACTCTTAATGCCTTTTTGGCTATGTAGTTACAGTGGGCTCTAGCACTTAGATCATTTGAGATGAGTACTCCAAGATCCTTGACAGAGTTTGGATCATCAATAAGGTCTTGACTATTCAGTCTGTATTTTATTTTCTGATTTTTTTTGCCAATATGTAAGACAGAGCATTTATTTGTGAGATTTGAAGTTGCCATTTGTTTGACCATTCTGATATATAGTCAAGATCTTTTTGAAGGGTAGCAGTATTGTCTGTGGTGTTGAATAGCTTTACATCTTTAGCAAAGAGAACGCAGTTTCTCTTAATATGATCACAGAGGTCATTTATGTAGAGTATCAAGAGAGTTGGTCCTAGAATGCTGCCTTGGGGGACACCACTATTGACAGGTACAGAATTTGATAGGACACTCCCAATTTTGACCATTTGTTGTCTGTTTGACAGGAATGCTTCTATTCAGTTATGCAGGTGTCCAGAGATACCGTAAGATTTTAGTTTTAGGAGTAGTTTGTCATGTACCACTGAATCAAAGGCTTTACAGAAGTCTATGTAGATTGCGTCTATTGTTTTGCCCTAATCGAGTTGTGTAGTCCATATGTTTTTGCAGTGTAAGAGTTGCAGATTACATGATAGTTTTTTCCTAGGTTTTTATCAGCTATGATGATCTCACATGGAATGTTTCTAACATTTAGCAAAATTTAATTGAGCTGAATTTTCCCAGTTGTCTTCTTCATCCATTGTGGCTATTACAGAATTAGAAGAATCGTGTTCTCTGACCCTTAAGAGCAAACTTTGCCCCACTTCCCATATCCTAAAAGACGATGAGGAATTGTCTTCTGACACAGTTCTGACCCCATTCTGTTGAGTTTGGAGACCCAATATATAGTCAAATCATATTAATTCTCAGAGGGAGGGACTACCTTGAACTTGTGGTAGCTAGAAAAATGAAAAATGGAATGAGTGGAAGGACTGTATTTACATTCTTTTTTAATGTTCTCTGTGTCAATCGGATGGGAAAGAAAAATAATGAAGTGGGGAAGCATTCGTTTTGTACAATCTTCCGTTGCTCAGTTTTATTTATTGAAATCAAGATGATTGGAAGGACAGCTTTCAGGAATAATTGCCTGCTGGAAAGATGTAGCTGCTAAAGTAACACCTTCGCAAAATAAATTGGTGGGAAGCTAATGTCTTTATTTATGTGACTAGAATACATCAAACCTAGAGATATATTGTCAAATTAACATTTCTGAAACATTCACTTGACAGACTAGAACTTATTTTCCTTCCTCCTCAGTTTGGTTAATTGTAACTTAATAAGTTTGTAAGCACTTCTCCAAGCAAATGCACAAAAATTTAGAATTGGCAAGATATTTTGTTTTTAACTGAATTATTTCATTTTGACTCCCGTGGAAAAATAAACCTGTTCTTTTAGCTATTCCAAATGAATTTTAGCTAGTTCTTACAAAACTGAAATTTTATGAATTATGGTTTTTATTTTTATTTTGTCTCCAAAATTGTATATGTATAGATGGGTAGATAACTAATAGATACTGATTTTTCTCTCTCACTTATATGCATATGTCTGTTTGTGTGTTTAAAAAACAGTAATTATTTTCACTGCTCCTGTCAAGATTATTTTAATTTAAATATGCATTTGTAAGTCTTAGAACTCTACAGTTAGTCCTTGATGCACGACCGGTAATGAAGCCTGCCAATTACAGTGATAAGTCAAGACAGTTGTGAAATGGGTCATGATGTGATTGACCTGCTTTTATGAGAGCTTTTGTGGTGGTCATTAAGCAAATGACCATGGTTCTTAGATGAATCTTTGTTGTCAAGCAGATGCCGTGATGCTTCAAACATATTGTTTGCTATGAGGCAGTTTTGTTAAAAAGTCTTACAAATGGAAGTAAACACCAGTTTTCAGCAAAACATCATAAATCACATGATTACAGGATGCTGTAAATGGTTATAAATGATGGACAGTTTCCAAATGCTGTAAATGTGAACACGGGAGGGCTCTGGCCATTGGAACTTAGGTAGAAGTAGGTTGAAAGTACCTTTGGGGGTGGGTCCTATAGTCACTTTAATTGATCATTGAACTAAATAATCAGTTATAAGTCAAGGACTACCTGTGACTGATACAGGTATAAGAACTCTTTCATGAAGCTTTGCTTGCATTGATGCCAAGTTTAAATCATTTCAGTTATTTAATTCTAAATCTAAAAATATATATTTAAAGTGAATTTAATCTATGCCTGGTCTTCTATAGATTTTTTTAGCTGCTATAAAGATGGCATCCTTGTAATATACAGTAGGCAGATTGTTGAATGAGTGAATCTCATTTTAAAAGACCTATAGCCTATTATTTAGAAATAAAGAGATATGTAAGAATGCAAACTGTGGAAGATAAATTGCCAAAATTTAGGGAAAAAAAGATTTCCACATTCTATGCTCTTCATCGAATGTCTTTCCTGGATAATATGGAGGTTTACAAAGCTAAACATTGAGAAATATGAATCAGAGGCTTCTGTAAGCATATATAGTTCAGGGACCCATAGTTGCATCATAGAGATATGTGTTTCTGTTAGTTATTTAAATGTTTAATCCAGTTATCAAAACTCTGGAAATGTTGTAACATGAAGGATACAGCCACCCAGCAGCGTTGCTTGATGCAGAGCCTTTTTACTTTTCTGTTTTCTATAAAAAACCTGCAAGTTATTAGTTTTTTTTTTGCAAATATTTCAATTGAAAAAGTTCTCTTTGCATTAATTTGGAAATACTTTTCATGTGATAACATTATGTACATACAAATCTGCCAGTAGCCTAAATTCAGATGCTATTCAACAGTATAATAGCAATTATTGGGAAGAAATATTTTAGATTACTGGCATTAAACTGAAAGCATGTTTCTATCCTTATAACACAGGGGTATCAAACTCAATTTAATTGAGGGCTGCATCAGGGTTGTGGTTGACCTCAGGGGGCCAAGTGTGGCCAACTGGGGGTGTGTGGCTGATTGGGTGGGCGTGGCCAGCTTGGTGCCACTCCCCAAACTGCTGGCATGTTTCCTCTTCACACTGAGTAGATCAGGCCGAAGTCATGCTGGCTTGATGTTTCCTCTTCTCATTGGGTAGACTGGGCCGAAGCAATGTGGGCCGGCTCCTATATTTTACAAGATGGCCCCATGGGCCAGATCCGATCACATTGTGTTTGAAACTCCTGTTACAATAAAATGCCAATGCTTTTTTAAAATAAAAAAAATGTGTTTCTACTCTTTCTTTCTCTTTCATCTTGCAGGTGCTAGCAACAGGCTTAAGTGGTCTATATTCATCTTTGCCTACGAAACTGGAAGATAATGGAGAAGAATGGCACTGTCTTCTAAAAGACGACTGTTTACTTTCTCCAGCTCTTGTACAATTTATGAATTCTTTTGAATTCTGCAATGCAGTAATTCAGGTACTGGGCCAGAGAAAAAACTTAAAATGGAAGTAGTATTTTAAAATCGCAGTACACACTTTTGTAGATATTTAGAAAAAATATTGGGTTATTTATTTTATATGTGTAATACACCATTTTTTTAATGAATGAATATCAGCGTAAGTTATATTTTGTTAATATATAAGGGAAATACAAGTTAATTTAGAGATGTCCTGGTGGAGCAGTGGTTAGAATGGAGTATTGTGGTATATAAGTCTAAGCACTATTGCTATTGCTATGATTATTACAAAATTTAACAATTTACATGTATTTGTAAACCAATTAATTTAATTTGGGGGGGGGAATACTGTGCTTCTTTGTGGTGTTGGCAATGTTTGACTTATAACCATAATTGGGACTGGAACTTCCATTGCTAAACGATGTCATTAAGGGAATCAAAATCAGAATAGAGCGGGAAGCGGGACCTTGGAGGTCTTCTAGTCCAACCCCCTGCTCAAGCAGGAGATCCTATACCATTTCAGGCAGGTGACTGTCCAGGTCTCTTCTTAAAAACCTCTGAAGGCAAGCTGTTCCACTGGTTAATTGTCCTCACTGTTAGAAAGCTTTTCCTTAATTCCAGGTTGCCTCTCTCCTTGATTAGTTTCCACCCCTTGTTTCTTGTCCTGCCTTCTGGTGCTTTGGAAAATAAATTGATCCTCTCCTCTTGCAGCCATTTTTACAACCTTTTTTTTTATTGTGGTCATTAAGCCAATCACATAGCCGTTCAGTGAATCCAGAAACACAAAGTCATGAAACACAAAGTATTGGAGGCCTTCATAACTTGCCATAAAATTATGGCTTTGGATGGCATAGTGCAAAAAAGTACTAAATGACTAAGGATTAACTTAATTAACTTTAAACTTAAAGTTTAAATTAAATTCATTTCTTATCTACCCTCTGGTCACTTTTGGAGAAGTTCTTTGGTTCAAAAAAGTTTTACGTTCCTTCCAGAGATGTATAAAACTATATGTGCTGTAGATAATTTAAGTAGGAAAACACTTACTTCCATAATATGAGAACCCGGAACATCTAATTAATCCTAATAGCAAAAGATCAGCAATTTTTTTCACCAACATAAACTATATTAATTTTGCAAGTGCAGATTTTGGACCTAAAGAAAATTTAAAATATGGGTGAGATTTACTCATCAGCTTCTTTAAATGTATATTTAAATTGCACAGTGGGAAAGTAAATGCTTATTTATTATTTCAGGTATATCCTTCTCCTTCTCTTTCCATTTTTAGGTGGCACATTCTTTGATTCGTAACCAGCTTGTGAACTACATTTATAATGGATTTTTGGTTCCAGTTATGGCCCCAGCTCTCCATAAGGTTTGTGATAAATAATATATTTTAGTCAATGAATCATAAAGCTAAATTAGTATAAATTCAATATTTGGGCTTTGAATTTGGTAGAGAATACAAAAGCAGAGAATCTGATGGTTAATGCATGAGCTTAGAAACCAGGAGACTGTGAGTTCTAGTCCTGCCTTCTCACAAAGCCTGCTTGGGTGATGTTGGGCCTAACCAGGGGTGGGATCCGACTGGTTTAACTACTGGTTCGGTGATTTATGATTTGCTTCCCTGCATGCTGCACATCGTCAGCTTACTGCCTGGACAGCTGAGCAGCGCTGCGTGCAGGGAAGCAGCGTTTGAAAAAGCACTTTTTTCCCTGCTTTTTCAACCACAGCTGTGCCTCACAAGGCAGCTGAGGTTGAAAAACCAGGAAAGAAAGGTCAGGTAAGAGCTCAAGCAGACGGGCGGGCCAAAACAGCAGCAGACATAGAACCGGTTCTATTTCTGCTGCTTTTCAGAGTCGGACAGAACCAGTAGAGTCCCACCCCTGGGCCTAACATTTTCTCTCAGCCCTAGAAAGAAGACAATTGAAAAAACACTTCTGAAAAACCTTGCTAAGAAAATTGCAGAGACTTGCCAAGGCAGTTGCCAAGAATCTGATGCAATTGAATGGAGGGGGTGGGGAAGTGACTTCTCTTCAGTAGAACAAAGTATTCTTTTAAAATTTGATGATTGAGATGTCAAATAGATAATATCCCAAGTCATAAAGTTGGCATGTTTTCAATACAGAAGCTTTTAATATATTTTTGGCAACAATGCAGGTATACTGCATTATAGCAGTAATGTTTAATTTCATTATGCAAGAGGCTTGACTAATACAACCTGGATTGCAGGAGTTAAAAAAAACAAACCTAATATGAAAAGTTTATTCATACATAGGTTCATAATTCTACTTCTGGTCCTGATATTTCCCTGATATGTTGAACTAAGGACAAATGTTTGTTTCACTTGAAGAGTTTAATAAACAGGCATTCACTTTTAGTTGAATGTCTCCATTCATATGCAGAACTTTCATTAGTTCTTAATTATTGTGTAGTCTTTAATTCAGGGTATTGAAACCTTTTTTTGTTCCTAACAAAGCCTTTTTTATTTTTAGAAAAGGTATGTGGGTAAGTAATTCCCTCTGCCTTCTCTCTTTAAGTATTATAAATCTTTTGTATACTTCTTTAAAAAACTTGAAATAAATGAAAAATCACTTTAATAACTAGAACAATAAATTTAAAAATATATGGACCTTCTTGACAAAGGATTTCTTGAAAAGATTCATTTTTAATTATGTTCTCGTCTTTTCTGTCAACATGCTTTGAATCTATTGCCTAAATAAACATGTTGTTCTCCAGATGGCAACCCATAAACATAACAAGCTGGATGGGAAATTTAAATTAGAACTTAGCAGTTACCTCAAATGTAGATTGGTATTTCAAAATGTAGTCTTGTAGTATAAGCACTTTAACTATTAAATGATGGAATGTTAAAACTTATGAAAACCTTTCAGGATAACTTGCTATTCAGAACATTAATAAAAATCTTAAATTTGCTTATTTTACCTTCTAATTCTCAAAATATGCTGTGACTCCCACTTATTAATTACTTTTTGTGGTAATTTTTTCAGATTATCTCCGATTGTAATTGTAAGCCTATTGGAGCCAAATAGATTGTATACTTGTCTTCTAAAAATACTTTGAAATGCATGCAGCTCAAACTTAATTTGTATCCACATTTGACCAAATAATTAATTTGGTCTAAATTTAATTAGTGGAAAAACTTAGGTTTTTTTGCTCCAATAACCAGAAAAGGCTTAATATATAAGAGCAGTATTTCAGAAATATTTCTATTTGTAGAACATTTTTTATTTTATATATAATATATAAAGAAAGAATAAAATGTACTGATATGTGAAATACCTTTTGTTGGTCATTTCATTCTTGGAAAGTCAAATTACAAGTGAAATTGCCAAGAAAGAAAAAACATACCACCATTTTTTTTACATATAAAAGTTTCTAAATTCAAAATATTATAAAACTTTTAAGTTCCCTGTATGAAATATTTCCACATCTTTAAATTGTCCTGATATGGGATAGAAGTGTATTGATAGCTAGTAAATATATCAAGTACTCCATCCTTCTCTTCTTTTTTCCAGTAGAGCGGGGAGAGAGATTGAACTTGAGAAAGAACAAGTGGCCCAAGGTCACCCAACAAGCTTTTGTGTCTAAGGCAGGACTAGAATTCACAATTGCCTGGTTTTTAACCTGATGCTGTAACCACTAGACCAAACTGCCTCTTTTTATCAGTTTTCCCCCATAATAATGGTATTGATTCACTGATATTGGCGGAGAGGATTTGTAGGAAGTGAACAGGGATTTTGTAGATGAAAAAAGTGTATTTAGAGTAGCTATTATTAAGAGATTTTAATAAAAGTAATATGATTGCAACCTTTCATTTTTTTCCACACAAAATAGATATACAATTTTCAGAGCTGTTAACTTCTAATAATTTATTAAATAAAAAGTGGTCTTCGTTTATTATTTCCACACTCAGAGTAATTTTGAATACACACTCTCTTTTATCATTTATTGTATCTTTAAATACATTAGCTAGAGAAGGTGAGTTTCTGCCATCTAGTGGACTTGCAGAAGAGCCATGATACAGCCCTGAACCCCAAGATTAAGATTATATTTACTAAAGTAAGAATATACACCTTCCTTTTTTATTTAGTTCCTCTCCCCCAAATATTAAAATCTACTCTGTCCTGGTCAGACCCCAATAAAGTCTGTATCAAGTTCTGGATGCAAAAACAAAAATTAACAAGTAAAAGTAAACTTCAGATTATTACATCTCAGAAAAGATAGTGACAGTAGTAGGAAGTTTAAAGGATACTTCCCAAATTAGTAAAGGATCTGAAATCCAAGACCAGGAGGTATTGGTATCTGTCTATTAAGCCTACAAGACCAGGAGGTATTGTTAAAGGATCTCTGTCTATTAAGCCTACAAAAATAAATAAATAAAAATAAATAAAGCTGATATAGCAGTCTTCAAATATCTTACAACAATGGTTGATATAAAGAAGGGGGAGTTAACAATGCACAACAGGAATATTTGCACGAGACCATAGTTCCTTTTGAATCTGTGGACTTGATTTCTAAACTTTTCATATAAGCATAATTTGTATTTTTAATGAAGTTAATGTCACAAAAATCAGTTCCCAAATTTAGTTTACTTCACTAACTGCACTTTACGTGGCTTAGAAGCCTCTTCAGTTGAGCAGGGTACCTGTTTTACCTTCTGATGCCTCTTCATAATAATTTTAACTTGTTGCAAAATAACGTATTTTTTATTACAAACTTAAACACCTACTACATGAGAATGAGATGTATTAAGATGAGTACAATATAGATACATTTATGTGACATTTCCCTGCAGATATTTGAGTCTTTTGAGATTCAAAAGTGTCTAAATAGCGAATAGTTCGTGATGTTTAAATCGCCAATACACTTCTTTTCAACTATAGATAACTACTTCCTATCAATTGGCATATAGTGTATCAATTAAATGGTAGAATAAAGTGATACAATTCATTTTTTTCCTAGATTTGCATTGCACTGATGGATACTTTAAGCCCAGAATTGCTCTGTCTTTCTGGCTTTGTGGACTGTGGGGTGGTTGAGAGAGGGGATGGTTCTACGTATGTGGCAGGCAAGCACACGTGTGTATTGGTCCATTTGCAGGAGCAGTGGACACATGCTTGTTGCTCATGCAAGTGGAACATGAAGGTAAATGATAATCTGCTTGTGGGAGTGGAGATGTGCGTGCATGCACACTCACACACACACTCACTCACTTGCCACTTTCATGGCCCGTTCCAAAAGGCTTAAGGTCTGGTAGTGGGCCACAGCTCGGGGGTTTGGGACCCCTGTTTTAGCCAAAGGAAGAAATCAATGTTTGTATGTATTTTTAATTTAAAATCTGTGAATTTGTAAGAACTTGTTCTAGTTGTTAAATAATAGTTGACTACATAGGGGCAAGAAAAATAAAGTAGGTTTTCATAAATTCCAATATTTATTGTGGTAGACTTTTCAAATAGCAAATATCAGTTTGTTGGAATTGTGGAAAACCTACCATAATATATTCTGTGGCCAGTGGTGGGATTCAAATATTTTTGCCACTGGTTCGGTGGGTGTGGCTTGGTGGGTGCGCTTTACAAGTGCACACACTTCGTGTGTATGCATGTGCCAAACATGCACTTTGCGCAGGTGCAGAAGTGTTCTAACTCACCTCCTGCAAACCTGCATGATCCCATTTGCTTCAGCAACTGCTGCGTGGCACTCTTCTGTGCTGCGCAAAGCAGCTGCGCTTCAAATTCAGCGGATAAAGGTGAGCATGGGAGCCCGGGCTGGCGGGTGGGCCCAACAGCAGAGCAGCGGAGAGAACTGGTTTGGTCTCCACTGCTCATCACTGGTACCAGTTCACCAGAATGGGCCGAACAGTAGAATACCTCCACTGTTTGTGGCCCAAACTGATTTGACCATTCCAGCAATCAACTGATGGCTTTTGAGAAGATTATTATTTAGTATCTGATGAGAACATGACAGAAGCAAATAAATATAGAAGTCCATGTAAAACTTCTATGGGGGTATGGCAGTGACCTCATAGCTGGATGGCCAATTTACCTATCCAGGCAATTGTCTCTGGCATTCATCTTCTAGGGAAGCAGAGAACATATATTGTGGGCAATCTTGCACAATATGTTTACTAGTTTGCAAATCTTTTCAGAAGAATCACATTGTCATGATTTGGAAGGAAAAGTTTGAGAATTTTGTAGAGTACACTGTTTCTGAGACAACCATCTTGGACCTGTCATCGGGCTAATGAATAGCAGTTCCAAAATGTAATTTATAAAGGATCCCACACTTATCTGTATCATGTATTAGTTACTTTTATTCTTGATTTTCTAGTATGGTGACAAGGCCTTTGCATTTTCATTTTCATTTTTAATATTTACGACCTTGTAATCCCTTAATTCTGGGCAGTTGAATGGAGCTGAGCATTTACTGACTGGATTAAGTCATCAAAATAAATAACCAAGTATTTGCTACAATGTTTTAGGTTGTTATGACTGTATTGAGTGTCACTGCTGTTTTTATCTTTGCAATATTCCTTTCTTTATTTGTGTTATATTGTTTTTGTAATTTGTTTTACATATTGCTTTTTAAACTAATTGGTCAAGCGTTCAGGATATTCTAAAAAATTAAACAAGCCTGAATTTTGGTATAGATTATAATAATTATTCATTTTTAGGTGACAGTGGAAGAAGTGATGACCACAACTGCATACCTAGATCTCTTTTTACGGAGCGTTTCTGAGCCAGCCTTACTCAAAATATTTCTTCGTTTCATCCTTCTGCACCGTCATGAGAATGTGCATATCTTGGACACTCTTGCAAGCCGGATAAATACGCCATTCCAGGTGAGGGGAAGGGGTGTCTAGCCCTCTCTTTCTTGTTATAGCTGTTACTCAAATCGTTTTAGATACATGTGAAACTTATAAATATTGATAAAGGAATTTTTTGAAAAACCCAAATCAAATCCATACTCTCAAGGACAACAAATCTAAAGCTACACAAGAAAAAAAAGGGAAGCAAAAGGAAACAAATAAATGGAAATATTATCACTTGTATAATGAGTGTAACTCTGGTTCCATATAGATAAAATTTGGTATTAATACAGATAACAGGCCATTCATTGAAATTGAGTAAGTACCTATTATTTTCTTTGGCCATCCACTAGCAGTTCTATTAATGCCCATCCTCATACAGGTTTAACAGCACACTGTACTTTGGCTTCTGCGAAATTACACTTATAACTAGACTAGTGTTTTGTTTCTTACAGCCAACTATTCCTGTATTATGATCTGTTTTAACAGAAACAAAAGTGTAGCTAAATAACTCCCGTGTATATTATTTGTTAATCCTTGCATCCTAGTTCTTTTTTAGAACTCTGAATGGCTTATGAAAAGGTTTCAACAACCTTTCGCAGCCAATATTAATCTTTACACAAACTCACATATAGCGCTTCTCGATTTCTCTTAGGCCATAGCATATTTTTGAGTTTGAATGTGTATTTATTTTGAAAACTGAAAAAACAATGAGATATGCATTTCAGTTGCCTCATTTTGTTTACCTTTGGTGAAATGAATTTATGTTAGTTAAGAAAATGGCATTGTTCATAGCGTTTGCTTCTTTATTTCTGATCTTTTACTTACTCAGTAAAATGGCAGTTCATTTGCAGTCATGGAAATTGTCATTTCTTAACCTCAGCAAGTTTAAGATGTGTGAATTTCAAAGCCTCAGCCGGCATCCTAAAGTTGCTAAGGTTCCGAAATATTGCTCCATTTGGCAGTGGTTATTCTCCTCCCCCTCCCCCCTAAAAATATATCCTGACTGTTGCATAGCATTTGTCAGGCCAAGGAAATCAGGAGTCCAGGCAGTTCAAATGAATATAAAAATTATTGCAAGTTTAAGCTCTGTATGAGAACAGTCAAAGCAAATTAGTAGTAGACAAGAATCAACAGAATTCAAGGTCAGCTGGACTTAGATCTCTTGTGAGTGTGAAGGAACTCAAGACTTATGGTGTGTTTGATCCCACCCCCAGGCTTAGCCTGGTCATCTTCTACAATATTAGGACACCAACTGGTTTTTTTTTTCAGAATGGCCTTGAAAGATGAAAGCATTTGAGTAAATGTAGTTATGGCATCCAGAAGAGTATTCAGATAACTTTGCTGCTGAAAATGATTTGAAATTCAGAATACTTGTACATGAAAAAGAAACTTGAACAAGAATATGACCTGCATGAAAAAATAAATGAATAATTATAGAATAGACTATTTAATCTGATTCTAGCCATACAAAATGTTTATAAACTATTTTTCTCCAAATTCTTAAGTGATGTTGAAAATTTATCAAAATTCCAGAATTACAATGAATATCTTTAGACAGGGATGACCAGCCTACAGGCTACATTTCCACCTTCCCATTTTGTGGCCTGACAAACAGTAATCAATAATCACTATCAAAATTTGGCAGCCAGACCAGTTCCTTTCAGTGCTATAATTTGCTGTGTTTGTTTTCTTTTTGTATTTAACAAGTTAAATATGGATATATCAAGCTTCTGTTGGACTTGGTACCTATTTCTAATCTTGAAATTCTTCCAGCTCTCTTCATCTCAACATTCAGATGCCAATAAAACACTATCATTACACCATTGGCCACAAAAGAATGTGAATCATATTCAAAATTATGTTATTCATTTTTCTTCTGTTTTTTTCTATACCTCTTCCCAAGTATATTTGAGCCACATAAATTCATGCTTAAAAGTGTTTCCTGCCTCAGTTTCTCCTTGACTTTGATTCTGGTGGGGGGCGTTGCTGAGAAGTTTCTGTTTATTGCCTCTAGTCCAATCAAATCCAGTGCAAACCTATTTTACATATTGCAGCCCTTTGTGTTAAAAAGTTATTAATTTCCAGGGAAACTATTCAGAGATTTAAACCCTTTTAACCCTGAGTCTACATTTCGCCTAGGATGCTCAGGCATGGTGTTTTGCATCCATTTGTAAAGTTTTAAAGATACTGTTTATTTTATTATTTATTTAGTTTTGTGTCCAATTACTTCACTTACATCAAATCCTAAAGTTTGATTCCTTTAAATGAAAATAACCATAGAACTACAATAAACTTTAATTGTATAAATAATTAAAACCATCAAACAATTAATTCAAACAACAATACAATCACAAGTTGGCAATAAAATCAGCCATTCAACAGTATGAAACTGATTAATTTATTTTTGTTACTTCATTAGACCATTTTTGGGTTTTTTTTATAGCTGTTGAATACATAACAGCAAAATATATGTGATTGTATAAAACATTAATGATACTGATTTTTAATAGTTTTAAATTATCTGTATATATTTTTTCACTAACCCAATTTTAGAGAAATAGATGTCAACCCTAAAGCTGACCTGATGGAAGCCATTTTGAGGCTTCAGTGTTGCCACACTGGAGCTGAGGGATAGGGAGCGGGAATAGAGATAGCTGCAGTTTTGTAGCCAAGGCAAAATACTTTCTCCTGGGAACCAAGGACTTCTCACACTTGGTCCGGGAGAAGAGGACTGATGTTACCAGGCAACCGGGTGGCACCTAGATTGAACCATGTGATTGTTTGGGGAGGGGGTAAAACACCTACTTTTAATTAGGTGAAAACTGTGGGAACCTTTAGAGTTGGTTTTTACCGAAACTGCGCCAATATGATATAGCCAATAAAACTATTATTTGAGGAATCTACCTGCCTTCAAGTTTTGCATGCTATGGGTGTATTACTTGGAACCTTGACATTAGAATTAAGTGGACCATTTTGATGAAGCCAAACACTTGTTTAATATAATGTTGTTTGATCCAGTGTCATTAGTAATAATAATATCTACATAACCAGCTGGATTACTTCATTGGATTGCCAATATAAATAGAAATACAAGGGAGCCTCTTCTGAATTATAGTGGTATGTTACTTATGTCCCCAAAATAGCTAACAATAACTATTCCAGTTGCATAGGATTCTGAAGTAGTAAATAAAAACATTTGCTTCAGTCTGCATTCCTGCCTCTCCCCTTGCCTGACACTTTATTTTGGGCCAAATAAATATGATTGAGGGAGGTATGTATGCACATACATATTCTGCAATGGTTCCAGTTGCAAAGCATATTTACTCTAAAACTCTCAATTTCAACAGTTAAATTGCTAGTGTTGTCTTTGTTGATCTGTATCAGTTTGATAAATAGCTTGAGTGTTATGAAGTATTGTCATTTGGAATCATGCCATAATGCATAAATGATGCTAAATGATTTGTTTATTGTATAATAACTTAACAATGGGACTGATTTCTGTAAATAGTTAACAGCAGAGATACCCAGAATTATGCCCATCTGTTGCCAGATAAACTGACTTATGTGGTAATTTTGGACCAGTTACTCTCTCTTGGTCCAATCTTACCTGGCTGGATGGCTTTCGAGAAACATTAGATGGAGTCTAGTCCAAAATTATGGGTGTGGCTAAAGTGGCCTTTTTTCATATTTTCCATTCAGTCACGTCTGGTTTTCAGAGACTGCCGTATTAAGTTGCTTCAGTTATTTTGGCAAATTATTGCAGAAGTGGCTTGCCATTGCCTGAATCTTAGGGCTGGGAGAAAACGATCTTACTGCTGTAAGATCACTCAGTTGGCATTACCCGTTACACCCACTAACCAAACTGCCTCTCTAAAATGGCCTTTAATTTTGATTAAATAAAATAGATATACGCTGTCTACTATAACATGGCTTTTTATATTAGAAATAACAGCTAAGTTCCATATTTAAACATGGCACAATTGTCTTGCAAATGTTTGAGTATATTGAACTTAATTGCAGTTTAATTATCTTTCAAATCACATCACAGTTCTTTTCTTTTTCTTGCTCTTAGAAAATGTTTCCCGTATCCCAGCATATGTCTCTGTTTATCTTTGGTTTATACTTTTAGGAGTTCTAATTTAATTGTTCTGGAGATATGTACCAAAGTAAAACGTTTATATAATTATTTTCAAGTGTACTGCAATTCAGTTTGGGTGTTTTTTTGCATGTATGGGTTTTTTCTTTTTATCTTGGAAATGTTGAAAAATTATGCATTCATATTTTGTTTATAATTTCCCAGCTTTGTGTGGTGTCCTTGGCATTGTTCAAAACACTTATCAGTTTGCATTGTGAAGATGTGATGCTGCAGCTAGTTTTAAGGTAAAGTCAAATTTTCCTTTCTGATATTACAGTCCAAATTACTCAGTGAAAATTGGCATCTTGGGGTTACTTATAAATTTACTTATTGATTGATTGATTGGTTGGTTGGTTGATTAATTAATTAATTAATCAATCAATCAATCAATCAATTAATTAATTCATTTTCCATAGCCGTCCATCTCAGCTACATGACTTGGCTTACAATTCTAAAACAATAAGAGTTAAAACAAGTAAAAAACCTAAAACAATAAAACCAACAACCAAAAATACACACAGCATTTGAGGTAGTTAACTAAGTAGCAGTAAATCCAAGGAATTGGGTCCTTAATACATTCCAAGCTCCAGGCTGGGGTACACAACTAAGTTTTTAAAGCCTTATGAAAGGCCAACAGAGTTGGGGACATTGTACACTCTGAGGAGAGAATATTCCACAAAACAGGGGTTCCAGCATAGAAGGTCTACCCTCTATTTCCCACCATGATGAATTATACCATGGGCATAAAATGCAAAAATCAGTATGTAGAAAAAAGGGGAAATTATTTAAAAACAGGACCACATAACTGGCTGAAAGAGGCTTATCAGAAATTTAAGAGAAGGGAAGGAAAGGGTTGTTAGAAATTAAGTGACAAGGTCGGAAAGTTACATTTTCCTAAATTCACATAGCTGTTGAATGACTCAATTCACCTTTGTATGTACGGTATGTAATATTTTAGTCCTTGTGTCTTCCAAAAGTAAAATGAGATGTCACTTATGTCCAATTTTCATGCAATTTTTTCTCCAGAGTTGGCCAGTTTTTTTAAATTGGAGACACTACCTTCAGAAAGCCGGGGGTGATTAATGGAAGGAACATATTTTAGAAGAGTTTGGGAATATGTTCTTCTCCGAATATTTTTTGCTTTCCAGCCCATCTCCAGCTAAGGAAATACCTAGGCAGTACAAGAAGGTGCTCCTTCATCACCAGCCCATTTGATTGTCTATATAAGCTGGTGAAACAAATCTTTTATTATGCTAACCCAATTGATTCTGCAGTGATTAGCCAAATAGACACTATATATCTCTCCTCCCCCCCCCCCCCCCCGCCCCGGCCATGTTAAAGCTAATTCATTAGATGGCATAATATTTACTCTGCAAGTTTGTAGTTTCTTCCTGAAAAAATGCAGGAATGGGAGATAACTGCTCTGGATAGCATTAATCCTCTCCTCTTTGTAGCCTTGTCACGACCATAATGCCAGGTGAGATGTGATGCACCTTTTGCACTGAAAACACTGCCTTCCAGGGTTATGACAGTACAAATTTCTTTTAATGCTCATTTTCTTGGTTGAGGGAAGTCATGGAAAATTCTCTAGAACCCTTGTCCAATGTCTGCCTTGAACTGCTGCTTCACTTGGCCTACTATTAATGACTCAGGAAGTCACAGTATCCTGATACTTCTACCACCAAAAATGCAATCTTTTATTTTTATTGTTTTACATATTACAGGCATAGCATCTTTTCAGCAGCCTAATCTTTAGTCGTTCTGCAAAAAATGGCTTTGGGTGTGTTTTAATCTAAATAACAAGTAAGGCTTCCTTGACACTTTTTCTCTTTCTCTCTGCTATTTTAGTTGAATGATAACCTCTTGTTGTTCTAGGTACCTGATACCCTGCAATCACATTATGTTCAGCCAGAGATGGGCTGTGAGAGAGAGAGATTGGTATTCTGTATCTGCTGCTAAGCTGCTTGCCTTGACTCCTGTCTGTTGTTCAAGTGGCATTACTCTGACTTTTGAAAAGCAAGAAAAAGATTATATTCTCTGGAAAAAAAATAATCACGGGGAAGGTAAGCATTTATCTGTTTTCTAAAAACACAGTCCTTATATTAAGTTGAATTTGATTTTTTTTTTCCACACCAATATTCATATTTGGAAATGTTGTAGAAAATAGTTTAGTCTACAAAAGAATTTGATTTACAAATTTAAGTAAAGGTGGTAATCAAACTCCTTTTAAAATGTATGCTGTATCTAGGTAATCGATGGTAGTTATACCTTTTTGTTTTGTTTTATATGATTCACAAATCTTGAATGTAAAGATTTTAAGTCTTATTTGTCTTATGCCTAGATTGGGATTAGTATTGCCCAAAACATGTCCCATTATTAGATATTTACTGTGAAAATCTCAACCAACTATTTCTGGGGTCATAAAAGAATAATGAAGAGCTTATTTTAGTCAAGGAGAGGAAGACATATTTATGGTCATTGTTGTCTTTGGCCTTTACACCTAAGAAAAAGAACCATTTCCTGTTCTATAACACATAGCAGAATAACTTGTCAGTCCCAAATTCTATTTAATGTGGCCTAAAAAATACTTGCTCACCATATTTGCTTGATTCTATGCCGTACTAATGATTACTTTACAGAAATAGAAACTTGTCCAAGAATTGATAACATTAAGCATGCCAAAAAATGGGTGAGGAGCTGTGTCATGTTTGATAGTCCAGATCCAGTGCTCTGTACTTCCAATAATTCAGTATTTATGTATTGCCTCAATACACCATACGCTTTGCACAAGAACTCAAAACCACATTAAAACATATAATGCTAATAAACATGGTTGCCTATAACTATAGAAAAGGCCAACGGTCCAGTAAAATGGCTTATGGAACAAAAGAACTACAGTTCATGTAACATTTGAATTCATCCTTGAGAAAATATGCCTGAGTGGTTGCTAAGAGTCAGCATTGATTCAATGGCAAATAATATTTGCACTGAATCATGTCAAATTGTGCTATTGCCTATTTGTGTGATTTTTGAGGCACTGCCTAGATTGTACAATACATGTCTCTGAGGATGGGAAGGAGTACATTTTTAAGAAAGCTGTTTCATTTTGCAAGACATACAGAGGGGGAAAAAAAGCAACCATAAATGTGCCACTGTATTATCTCTTGTTTTTCCATGGAGGCACCATAGTTCCAGTGCTTTGTCACAAACGTCTGATAGCATTATGGAAAGCTGAATAGGTAGCATTTCCATTCAGCTTAACTTGTCTGTCTGTTAAGCTTTAATGAAGATAGAAATATATTTGTTCTCAAGTTGAAAAATGGCACCTGAACAGAAGGAATCAAATCTCCTTTCTTGACTTAAGAAAAGTGCAGCCATTTCCCTAGGACAAAAATATCTCACCCACGAAAACCAATAGAATTTTTTTCCCAAGTTTTATTTGTTTTATTAATATAATATATAAAAATTCCATTTCAGACAGTGTGTTGTCTGGGTAGAATTGTTTTTAGGCGATCATAATCAAGGTGTTTACAATAACATTTATCACAATAACATTAATACTGTAGTAACAATAATATTTTGTTTGTCCATTTTAACAAATTTCCATCAAACCAATAAAACTTAAGCCAGTTCCTTGAAGATTTCATATTTATTCTACAAGGGCATCATAAATATCTCAGGACAACTTGGTTATAGGTCGGCTGAAATAATTTATGGAAGTTTGTTGGAAATTACCTGTACAGCGACCAGTGGCATGATCTTTAACTTCTCATTGTTTTGTGTTTATGTTGACAATTCAGTCAGACAAAGGAAGCATTACGATGTTAGTGGAGATAAAAAAAGAAATACTTCTTTATGATGAAAAATAATTCACTGAGTTTATTTAATGTCAAAAGTTGGACTAAATGTTCTGGAGCTATCCAGTCATTCCATACCACAGAATTATATTATGTTTTGCCATGTTTTGACCTTTTTTATTTTTATTAAATTTCATTTGTTCTCTACAAAACATAAGCAGTTATTCTTACTATACTTTGAGACTTACACTTAAGTAAGATTAAAGTTAGGATAATAAAAATTGACGTGCCACTGAGGCAGTGCTCTACCATGCATTTCTTCTATATTGTATCATGCTAAATCCAGTAACTTATATAACAAAGTTTTCCAAACTAGCCCCCTGCCAGAAGATTAGATTTTAACACAAGAATCCCACCATGCACATTGTCAAGAATTTTGAAAGTAGAAATTGTCTCATATGGAGGGTCTCATATTTAGGTCTCAAGTGAGACCTAAAGGACTTATCCCTAGATAGGTAATAAGCCTTAGAAAATAGAATTGGGTTCTTTTTATTTTGTCTCTTTCAGGAAAAAAAAAAAAGACAGAAGCCTCATTTTTCCAGGGGTAAGATGTGTTGTTGTACACATACAGTAAAACCCTGAAATACAGATCTGGATTTTATATTAATACACCACAAGGATTTTGATATGCAGGAGTTTACCTGCTGGCAATGCAAACTATTGGAGAAATTCGTTGAAAACTATGTTTTGTAAGATGATAGCAAAGGATACATTTGCAAGTATAAGTAATAAGCAAAATGATAATAACCACAGTGCAAAACAAATAGGAAGAGGTTAGCTAACTTAGAGGCTGTGTGGTAGTTAATATTTTCCCTTTGAGCTCATTCAAATGCTTAGCATCAAGTCTGCATCTTGTTTAATTATACTATTTATTGATGTGGTTTACAACTGTAAAACCCATGTAAACAGATGATTAATAATTATGCCTAAATGAAGATTTGTATTTCCCCTTAGTTCCCTGTAACTTTTTGCTGCTGCATTGCAGATCCTACCGAAGAGCCCTCCAGGAAGAGCATTGCAGATTCCGCATGTATTGTGAAATATGGCAAAACTATTGATATCAGTTACCTACAGTACCTTTGGGATGCTCAAACTCTCATACTGCACTGTATGAAAGATTGTGAAGTTTGGTCTGCTCCATATGATGGGGAAAATCCCAATCCATATACTTTTATCCAAACTTCGGTTGAAGAAGATGATAAAAACCTAGATCAGCCTATTTTCCAACTGCAACACAGAACATCTAGTAATCATGTCTCTTCTCAGGTAAGACCATTAAGAGAAAAGACACAACTGGAGCTGGAATGGGATGATAGTTATGATACTGGGATCTCTCCGGATTCCGATACAGGATCTCCCCAGCATGATGATGAGTTTAATACCCAACCTCCTGCAGAACCACCAAAGCACATTCAGGAAATGAAGAAAAATGCTATAATGTTGATCAAAGGATCGTACATAGAAGAATCAGACTTTCAGGATGATGTTATGGTTTATAGGCTATGTGCCGAAAAGGATACACAGGAAGCAGACCGCTTACAGGAGGAACCTTTAATATCAGAATCTGCAGATGTAGACAATCCAGATGCTATCTCTACCAATGGTCCTCTAGAAAGTTCCCCATCGGATTTAAATTTGGAGGAGCGCAATATGAAAAATTTAAATCTGATCCAACAAGCAAAAGATGAAACCCAAGGTAGCATTGATGAAACGACTCTGCAACTTGATTTGGAACACACATTGTCTTCCCCAGAAGGAGATCATAACACCAACATGAAGTTGTTGAGTCCTGACGGTGAAGATTTTATTTCCGAATGTGATAACATCATTAAAGAATTGGACACAAACCCTACAGGCTTGGTAGAACTGAAACTGCTGATTCCTGATCCAGTATCCCCTATTGAAGAGGAAGAAGATTTTGAAAACTTTTCAGCAGATACTCCATCAGCAGAAAGTGTTCCCTCACCCTTTGGTTTAAAAGATGCCTGGCCCAGCAACCCTGCAAGAGTCCAGAATATCCCATTTACAGGTACAGTTTTCTAATTTATTAAGCCAATCATGCTTTCTAAAATTCTAGATATGAATAACAGGTGTTGCCATATTACTTTGCAAGCTTACATTTTATTGTTCTCTTTGTTTAAAATAGAGATAGTCCTTGACTTTCGACCACAATTGATCCTAAAATTTATGTTGCTAAGTCAGAAATGTGTTAACTGAGTTTTGCCCCATTTTATGACTTTTCTTGCTGCATTTGTTAAGTGAATCACTGTAGTTGTTAAATTAGTAACACAGTTACTAAGTGAAACTGGTTTCCCCAATGACGTTGCTTGTCAGAAGGTTGTAAAAGGTGATCTCATGACCCCAGGACATTGTAACCATCATAATTGTGAGTCGGTTGTCAAGCATTTGAATATAAATCACATGACTATGGGATTGCTGCAATGGTTATAAGGGTGAAAAATAGTCACAGGGCACTTTTCAATGCTGTTGTAACTTTGAACCATCACTAAATGAACTCTTGTAAGTCGAGGGCTACCTGTAGTTTACTTTATCAAGTGGAATTTGATAAAAAAAAACAACAACCTCTAATGGTGACATTTCGGGCTGTAGACCTACGTACTTTAAAAGAAAGACATATTTAAGTATTAGTGTTAAATTATATGTTATATGTTCATAAGGAGAAATTTCTACAGAAAAAAAACAGATTCTTAATCTAACAATTAGTCCTCAAAGTATTAAATAGAAATTGAAAGAACAAGAAAATGTTTTTGCTTTCAGGTTTTAGCACTAGATAGCAGCTCTGTTGCCATGTGGTCACCTTTTGTCCCAATCACCTCCACAGAGCTTATGCTTTATCAGTGTGAATATTCTGCAGCAGGGATGTCAAACTCAAGGCCAACGGGCCGGATCTGGCCCGCGGGATGCTTAGATCTGGCCCACGGAGCCACTTTGCAAACAGCGAGGGACCAGCCTGTGGTTCCTCTGCCAGAAAAAATGGGCTCCTGAGCTCCATTTTCAGTTGTGACAGCCTCCTGCAACCCTCTGCATGCAGCCCCCCCCCCAATTCTGTTTTCACTGGCAGAGGGTTGCAGGAGGCCATCACAACTGAAAATGGAGCTTGGGAACCCAGTTTCATTGCCAGAGTGCTTGAGTTGCCACAGGCATCCTCGACAAGAGTGACATCAAACTGGCCATGCCCACCCTGGCCACCCCCACCCCCACCCAAAGTCAAACACAACCCTGATGAGGCCCTCAATGAAATGGAGTTTGACACCCCTATTCTGTAGGATTGCAGAATATTCCACCTGGTTTCAGGTGACATGCAACTTTCTATCATAATGCAGTAAGTCAGCAGCGAGTCACTTTGTAGCATCATAAGATGAAACATTTTAAAAATAGATTTCATAAGTTCCTGGAAAATACTCTGGTACAAATGCCTCAAATCCTGGAGTTTAGATCTGTGATGTAAAACTCACCCAATGAAACCAGCACCTGGAGAGAATTCCAGGCAATCTTTTTCTTCGCAGGTCACTGGATTCTTGCATCCATATGAACCCAGAGCTTCAGTATGTTGATTAAAGACACTTGAGCAAACATACCATCTGCCTTAGCTTAAAAACAAGTTTATAGTTACTTTATAACTGATGAAGATGAAAGTAATAGAAAGAGGGGAATGGATGTTTGTGAGATGTTGAATGCGACATAGTAGCTTTGAAATATGACTTATGGCAATGCTCTAATTGTTATTCTAGCAATCTTGTACTGTATGTTATTGCAAGGACAAAAAGATAAAGGGACAAACAAATCCGAAGGCATCCTTGAATCTTGTTTTGTTTCAAGGCATGAATGTTATAACCAATAAATCACCAACAGGAATAGATTGGGAAACTTAAAAAAAAAATTAAAACGTTCTTGAAAAATAAAGAGACACGGTAAGGGGATGAGGTACAGTATTATATTACAGTGCTATGAGCAAGCATATACTTTAGTTGTTGATTTCTATAACCTATTCAACTTGAATTTTTATTTGAACTTTCGTAGATTCTATTACTCTTCACCCATTAGAGAAAACAGAAACCAAACAGTAATTTTAATTTTTACAATGGTAGTAGATGGGTTGATGTTACAAATCTTTATTCAGTTATGACAAGAGTATAATCTCTATAATTTCTTTGACAAGTTTGTTATCTTTCTTTGGTGTGTTGTAACAGTTGTTTTAAAATCTGCATTTTTCTGTTCATCCTCTTTTTTTGGCAATATATGGCAAGTTTCTAATGACTTTATTCACCTATAAAATATGAATAAAAATAAAATTGCTAGATTTATGGCAGAGCATAGGCACAATGGAGAGGATTCATGTTTCTTTTCCACAGGAGTATAATGTGGAAACAGAACTTGTCTGTCAGGGAATAAGAGCAAGTATAGAACTAAGTGGACACGAATGCTTTCTATATTTTGACTAATATAACACCTGCTGCTTTTAATTGTCTCTAAAGTAATGCTCACCGCTCACTCACCTATTAACAAGGGCACAATTATCATTATAAAATAGAAATGTAATGCAACAAATGTAACTTTTACTATGAACAGGATCCAAATAAGTTTTAATACTATATGCTGAGTTGTGGGTAACATTATTTTTTTTAATCTAATTTACTTTTTATTGCAAAAAGTACAAAACCTATAAATCTCTTCTTGTCACAATTGCTGGAAGTTAGTTTAATAATAGGCTGTTTGGATGTATCCTACTACAGATAGCCCTCAACTTACAACAGTTTGTTTAGTGACGGTTCAAAGTTACAACCGCACTGAAAAAGGGACATGATGATTTTTCACACTTATGACTATTGCAGCACCCCTACAGTCACATGAATAAAATTTGGATGCTTGACAACTAACTCATATTTATGATGGTTGCAGTGTCCTGGGGTCATGTGCAACCTTCTGACAAGCAAAGTCAGTGAGGAAACCAAATTCACTTAACAAGCGTATGATTTAACAACTGCACTGATTCAAACTTGGTTAACAGATTTCTCACTTAACAACATAAATTTTGGGCTCAATTGTGGTTTGAAGTCGAATATTACCTGTAAATTTCTTCAGAAGCATTCCCATTCTGTCTGCGACTATTTGTTCAGTGGCCAAAGTGACAATGGCACTGAATGAATGATGGTTATAACCAAGCTTCAAAGGCTCAGCAACCCCAGCTTTCCTGCAGTCAAGTGATTGTGACCTGGGTGCTTAGCATTACGATTAATTGTAGCACCCCTTGATCACGTGATTGTCATTTGTGGCTTTACCTGCCAGCTTCCCCAGAAAGTCAACGGAGAAGCAGGAAACAAGGTTAGAAGTCACAGGTGGACTTACAAGTTAAGTCTTCCCCACCTGTCCATCTCCCATGCTCACCACACTGCCCTCACACCATCGCACATACCCTCTGACTCATTGCACCATCTTTATCCCCTCTTGCCCCCTCCCCAATCATTGTAACATCTCTTGTGCATCTTCGTGTATCCTCCCTGACCTTTGTCACCATTTTGGGTCTTAAAAATAATCTCTGTTGGAAGTTTGCACTGTTTACTTTGTCAAGAGACAAACATCACTTTTATGCTCTTGTCCAGCTCAGGTTTTAAAATGGCTTAGAGTCAGACATACTACCAGGTATCTATAACTATATCGGATATGTAGTACATTTATTTTAGTCATGAGTTTTATGACTATTATTTACTATCAATCAATCAATCAGAATGATGGGAAAGATCAATCAGAATGATACTAAATGATACAGAATGATACCAAAGAACATATCCTACATATAATGTTAAATAAGTAATGTTAAATGTCCCTAATCTTTGATTTGAGAATTACATAGAAAAAAAATGAAGGATTCATTTTTGTTCTTTACTGCTACTTACAAACTGGTTTTGTTTATGTGCTTTTACAATTTCACTGAACATATGTAGCTTAAGTTGTCTTACTACACTGTTGCTATTATTTGTGCATGGTTTTAGGATTGCAGATTTTTTTTCTGTAACCCATCTGGGTAACATCATTAATATATGAATTAGGAGAAGTGAGTTTAGTTGATTTGTTGATTGGTAGGAATTATATATCAGTCTCTCCTGCCTGCTTTGCATGTGCTCCAATACAGTGATCTTATTGGCCAACATTGTTTTGCAAGTGATTGATGCCTTCTTGTATATTTTTTTTGACTGATAAGATGATGTGCCAATCTGTGTTGATTGCTTCCTGTGTGATTGGCAGTGCTGATTTCTGTATGATGGAATTGTTAGCTGGGAGGATATTGTTCCAATTTTGTGCTTGTTGAATTGTAATGTTTTTCTGTTATTAGATCTGAAAAATGCAAGAGCATTTTTTTAGAAAGAATGGCAGTCTAGCCAAACAGTGATCTATAGATGTAAAGACTTAATTCCTATTTATAGAGTTATCTCAAAACATATCCAAGGACCCAGAGGTAGTGCATGAGCAGCTCTCAATATTTCCCCCATATCACAAAGTAATCAACCAATTCTGAGATAAAGAGATAGACTCATTTTATGGAATCAATAATGAAAACCTAAGTAAATTCAACAATAATAGGGAAAGAAAATAGCCTCTCTATGAGCCATCCCATCAAAAAGCTGATTTCACAGATAAGACAGACATGCTACCTTGCAAGCCAAAATCTACAAACAAGACATCGTTCAGCTGAAGAAAGAACGTTTGCTTGTAGCATCAGGCAAGATAGATGCATGTATAATAACTTTCTCCACTGATCATGTTGCCTAGCATAGTAACAATACATCTGCAACCCCAAACCAATCTTGGATAGTTCCATCAATGCAGTATGCCAACCCTGAGTGACAATTGTGAAGTGTGGCAAACCATAGGAAGATAAAAGGAGAGTGGGATTACTTTGCCCCATTCCATTCTGTGAAAAATATCAGTAGAGGCCAAGCTATAATTTACTATTTCTTTGAAAGCTATATTTTCCAGGAGCAACAATTACTTGGAATGTGTGAGAAGAGAACAGGAGAAGAGACCTTGATTGGGAGGCTTGCTAAATTCAGAATGTCACTGATACTTCAACTCCTGAGAAATAGGACAGGAGGATTTCTCCTCCCCCTCCTCCATTTGAAATCTTGAGGAAAATAAAGGAAAAATTACAATAGTGTTGGAATTATCTGTCTCTTTACAAACATTTCTTTCTTTCTTTCTTTCTTTCTTTCTTTCTTTCTTTCTTTCTTTCTTTCTTTCTTTCTTTCTTTCTTTCTTTC